CAGTAAAGTACTCGAGGAGGAACAACGCCTGGGCAGAGCGGCCGTGCAAAACCAAGCCAGAAGCAAAACAAGGAACCCAGGAATGGAGCGACTTACATGTACCTTGCCATCGTTGCTGTCTCGTGCTTGAGGTTTAGCGTGAGGCTATGCTGAATGAAAAGGGTGAGTGATTGGCAGGCGGCAGCCAGCAGGCCCACCGGCATCAACCCATTTCAGTGGAGCGCCGGCCACTGGTGGTACCTGTTGGACCTCGGTGGGCCGGCGGCGGTACCAGCGGAGGCAGCTCGCGCGGGTAGTCGCTACTGACGTGGCTATGGGATCGCGGGCCAGCGCACAAGTATCGGGTACGGTCGTGGCCACGCGCGTGCAGGGAGCCGTTTGTTGCTCTCGCAGCACACTAAACAGAACAGCCAGAGGCGCTATAATCCAGCCGGCCTTTTTTACCCAATCCCCCTTCCCGGGCAGTTAAGGCCGCTTACCGTACCGCTGAGGCCATTGATTGGAAGCCCCGTTCCTTGCCGAAGAACTTTAGCATGCGGTCGAGGTATAACTTAGTTGTAAGCATAAGGTGTACGGCTGCGCGAGTAATGGTTCTGTCGGCTCAATGGCTCCGGGGCAGCATCTGCAGCGTATACCGACTCTGTTCTATGGAGTGATACCGTAATTGCGGAGAGCAACATTTGCATGATCGTGATCGGCCACCTCCCTGTTTGAGGAACTGGCAACGGCATTTCCATTCGCTTGGCAGTGCATGGGTTATCTCTATGAGTGCTTTATAGACAGCTGCAGCGGGAGGGCCTGGATGCATTTGCAAAAGTACCAGATACGTCTCATATTCCTAGCCGACACAGCGAAACCGACCCAGCTCTCAGGTACCCAGGTACGAAAGAGGAAACCCTCTAGCAGTGGCATAATGCCAGGGTCTTCAGGCGCCAACTGAGAAGCCTGACTAGACGGCTTGCACGAATTGGAACAAGTCTGAAAGCAGCCCGCAGTCTTATTGGATATGAGTACGGCGTTATTTCGAACCTCTTGACCGACACATTTCAGCACGTCACGTATACTATTCGTATACAAGTATGCCAGCGCATGTAAGTATGTGGATGGCTTAGCAGATACTGGCTCCGAATAGAGAGAAAATCTAGGTGAGAATACCCGAAGTCGCTAGACAGGGAACAGGGGCTTGGCGGCCTTAGTACGGAGTTGATTAGTGCTCAGAAACACTCGCCCTACGGCAGAGCAGAGGCCTCAATTCGTTTTCTCGTTTAGCTGCTCTCCAGGGCCTATACTCCAGGTACAACCAGCGACGCTCCGTTGTGGAATCTGTTAGCCTGTGTACCTAGCACGCCTCTCTGTTCGCTAAGCCGCAAAAGTATCTCCCGAATACAGATTTCAGCTGAAAAGTATCGCCGCTCGCGTGTCGGGTCCACGTAATCAGCCACTGTAGAGCACGCCATAGGCCAGCAGCGAGTCGTCTCCCAGCATCATGAGACGGCCACAGCCTTGCCTGTGGCAACGGCGCATTTCTGCCCGCGGCACCATCCCATCGCTTCGCTCGCAACGAGCCTCGTCTTCAGCGCATCTCGTTGCAGAATCTACCTTGCCTGCCTTATCAGATCATCATGTGATGGGCGGCCGTCAGAGGCTCCAGCGCCTCCAGCGCCTAGTTCCAGGGGCTGTGCCAGCAAGCTTTTCCCCCTCTTTGCACCTCTATAGCCCGATCGAGCGCTGCGGGCAACACAATCACTCGGCGCGGGCAAACACCCATTGCAACAAAACCGCCGTGTCCTATCTCACAAGCCACATACTCTCCACAGATCTGGCGGCCAGCGCAAAGTTCGCCATCGCCAGCGTACTGATGCCTCCGTATGGAGCCAACAAACCCGCCACGTGAGGCCGCCCGTGAGAATACGCTGGCATTGAGTTTTCAGCGCCACGGAATCAAGGGCGCCATATCCGCTCGCCAAGGCTTCATCAATCTCCCGTCGTCATAGGAACTCGCCGCGGCTACTGAAGCACAGCCTTGACGAAGACGCGTCCCTTCAGGGGGTTTGGGAAATGTTTTAGCAGAGCGGCATCAAGCAATACCGATGATACCCAAACAATGTCGCCATCCGTGCAACCGCAAGTCTTGGATATCAACGCCGTCATACACGAAGCACGGCACAAGACGGGTCATAGGTGGCATCTGAGACCCAGGAAAATACAGCTGTCTCTCGCTACCGGAATAATGATGCTGATTAATTTCTGACACGGGCGCTAACAAGGCAGAAAATGACATTCTCGGACCCCATCTCGAAATGTTTAGTGCCATCTGACACTATTCGAAGATCAGCTTCTTTGTTGGGCAGGTCGCTCAAGTTACGCACTTAATTGCCGGGGGTTAGTCCTCCGATCATCATATTCCTATGCCGTGCGGCCGTCAATGTTGAGGTGCTATCACGGCTGCAAAAATGCGTTCCAGAGGTGCGGTGAGAGCCGGCGAGGGTGAATAGGTATTCGGGTACCAAGCAGTTAGGACAAGAGTATGACTCAGTCCCAACTAGCCAACTATGTGGATTCGGAGCACAAGAGCAAGCTTCGTCTCCCTAATCTCTTTCCTATTTCATATGGCAACATGGCCAAGTCAGACAGCCAAAACCTTGATATTTCGTCGATGTGGGGAGTATGGAGCACGCTTGCGGGCCTGGAAACTCGCAATTACACGGAGCACAGCATGTTGTCTTGAGGGTAATTTGGATTGCCCACCGACCCTGCCGCCAAGCTCATGGCCAAGCTCATTGCCAAGCTCACCAACGCGGCGAGGCATTTGAAAAGGGAGTCGGACATTATATCACAACCCGCCAACATCATCACCATGGTCCAGTCGCATCTCCCAAGCAAGCTATGGCTAGGCTAGCCGCCCACCCCGGCACACCTTATTGCTGTTAAGGTGTGTCCCAAGATGCTAAACGGCATAGCGCCCTGGCAACCTCCACACATGGGCGCACGTTGTCTGGCTTATACGCAATTCTAATACAGTGCAAGAACTCGAATTACCTATCCCGCCATTGCTCTCATTCGTACTGTACGGGGCCTTGGCCAAGGGGGCCCTGGTCCGCTACTCGCTCACGATCTTCGAGATGAGCTTTTGCTGGTGTGGGTGTCCTTAGCTGCTGTGGCTGTAAACCTTGTTCTGCCTCGTTCGTCAAGACATTGTCATACTCGTACCAAATGCTTCCGCCCGTTTGCCTCCCATGGGAGGATTCCGCCCGGGGAAAGTGAGTGGAAGGGTGTAGAATGAGTCTAATCGTCGCCTCTGGGCGAATCATGGCACCCGCATACAGTGCCTTTGCCGAAACTGTGTGTTCCGCACGACTGGTTAATCTGGAGTTCCCTATCTCGGCAAGCTACCACCAGCACGCATTGAGGCTGAGCAGCTACCTCACATCATCGATAGCGAATAATTTTGCTGCCCGCTTCTACTGGGCCGCTAAAGCCCATCATAATGCCGCTGCAGGCTGTCACTGTGGCATCTGAGATATCACACCATGGTCCAATCAATATCGTGCCGGCAGCCTTCGGATGGGAGCCTGTCGATGCGCGCTTCAAGCGACTTCTTGCATAAGCCAAAAATTATAGAGAACAATTTTTCTTCCATTTTTCTTCTAATTTCCCCCGTTTCTTCAATTTGACTCTCTTACTTTTTTCCTCCCAGTGAATAGGAAGCTATCTAATAAATGTAGAGCAGACTTCTCACTCTTGGCAGTCCTGAAGCGGAGGGCATTAATTTGCGCCGGATGGATGCAGGAATAAGCGGCCAACCTTGTCCAATATTGTGCACAGCCTCATCAAGAAAATAAGTCCCGTCTCCAGCGGTGGATAATAGACCTATGCGAGCCGAGACAGATGGCGTTTTTTTTTTTTTTTTTTTTTT